TCTTTCAAGGAGCATCCCTGCCTCCCCAGTGACAATTCAAGGTCTGAACAGCAGCTATACATTTTTCATATCAGAATTCTCCAGTAGATAAAAATGGAAGTGGAAAAAGAGGAATTTAAATTGAGATACTGCATAAATCAAGACTTTTATGCTAAACCACTTGTTCACTTTCACGTGCATATGTGAAAATGAGCAGTTGCCTTTTCTTTCATTGACAGAAACACTTGCACTGGTGAAGGTATTTGGGTAACCATTTACATTTCCCAGAATGTTCCAAACATGCAAGTTCATAATCTCTAAGTAGAGTTTCAGTACAAATAGTTTTATGCCCTGCACACTAGAAAGACCTATCTGGTGGATAGGTCTGATCAATCACTTCTATGTATATAATTATAGATGACATTACAATGGCACCTACATATAATTTCATTTCTCTTTGTCTCTTAGAAAACAAAAATGAGCAAACAATGTACTAAGGAAACCTTACACTATAGGTCTTTGTTGTCCTTCATTTTAACATTCTAATTTTGTCTAGTCTTATGGTTAACATGTTGCTTGTAAGTAAGTCAGAGGCTGGGAACAATGAATGAAGAGCTGCAACGAAACAGGATTCCCCTGTGCTAAGCCTGTAATAAAAACTCTATTCTCCAAAGAGTTTATGATGGGATCACCACCATAGTTTTTAAAATATGTGCCCAATAAAACGCATGGGGGAGAAATCAGGGAATTGAAAATCAATCTCCTCAGTTACAATTCTGTGTTGATATTTAAAGCCAGTGAACAATTATTCACCAATAATAAGCAACCCTTTCCCACACATCAGTCACCAGAAAGTATTTGGGTAACCATTTACATTTCCAATAATGTTCCAAACATGCAAGTTCATAACCTTTAAGTAGAGTTTAAGCACAAGTAGTTTTATTTGTTGATCTTAATACATCATCAAAAAATCTCTTTTCCAACATTTGAGAGCTTAAATATTCAGTTCAAGTCTGAAGCTAAATGTTTTAAAATGCACAGGCTCAACAAGAGCTTGTCTTGTCAGCCCAGCAAGAACCTTTTTTAGATGCATTGCTGCAACTTAAACTTTAGTTTGGATTTTAAGAAAGTAAAGTTTATATGCAAAAGTTGCTGAGGTTAGGTCTCCCTCCTTCATGTTCCTCCCTCCACAGTAGATTGATATCAGGGGAAGAATACGAAAGCAGATTTGCAGTAGAGCACAACACACTGCAGGTGCAAATATCCAATTCTGTATTCCAGAAGCTTAAAAATTTCGCTTTTCATTCATGAATTATGTATTTGCCTAGACTTTTGCATCTAATGATATCCTGAAGTAGAGATGGAAAGGGTATGCACTGAGTAATACTTCATACATGAACCATTACAGTACTTTTGAATCTGTGCCTGGTTGAAAAGGTCACTTATTACTGCGACCCATATCATAACTTCTCAGATGTCCACTGCTAGCAGGAGACGAGCAACGATGAGATACTGACTGAGTCTAGCAGCTCTACACCTGGTGCAGAAGTGTTCAGTGTCCAGATTCATAGCCTCTGAGAAATGAATGCTTTTTCTGGGATTGCATGTGCACTGAATTTTTTGATTCGTGATTGCATGGCCTGAATTTTTTCACCTCATTCAGTACAAATTACACAAACCCAGCGCTGCCATTCTTGTGACATTCAGAATATTTCTCAAATCCCTCAAAATTCTTCTAAGATTATAAATAAGGATTAGAACAATTAATTTAAAAAAAAAAAAAAAAAGCAAACCAAGGTTGATTTTAACAAGCTTCATAAAGAGACTTTTTCTGGGACATCTATCCAGATTTTTACAATTGATAAAATAATATCTTCAATGGATTGTTCTTATGACCCAGTAAAGGTAAAAGAAAAAAAAACCCAAAAAAACAGGGAAACAGCGGCAGGGAAAATAAGCTTGTGTCAAGTTATAAGAACAAGGTTATTCAGTGGTTTTTGCAAGGGAGGTACAAAAAAGAAGAATCCATGTGAATGTGTTTCTCCTTTGCAGTGGTTTCCCAGGTAGCAAGACTGTGATGGAGTTTTCCAATAGATTCTATAAGCATCAGCTTACATTGGATCCACGTGAAAAAAAAGAGTGGTTTACACTGTCCCCTCTCCACACCCATCTCAGAAACATGGAAGGGCTTGTGGAATGGTTCTGTTGACGCTATGTTGTTCACAGCTCTGTCTCCTGCCCCAGCATATTCTTGTTTACAGAAATCTAGCTGTATGGAGTAATGTTGAGGGACAACTGCAGACAAGACAGAGAATAAAAAGCATTTATTTCTTACTCAGTTTCATAAACTAACAAATGCCTTTACTATGCTGTAGAAAGGATGGTTTGTAAATACAAATTAGAAATTGTAAGATGCTCTTATGATGTGAACCATTTAAGTACCTAAAAAGGTATCAGTTTAACACCTCTGTAACGTAGGGTATCGTGGTTTAAGCCCAGCTGGTAACTCAGAACCATGCAGCTGCTCCCTCACTCCTCCCACTTCTTCTTCACCCCACTCACGGAGGGATGGGGAGGAGAATCAAAAGAATGTAACTCCCACAGGTTGAGATAAGAACAGTCCAGTAACTAAGGTATAATACAAACCACTACTGCTACCACCAATAATGATAATGATAAGGGAAATAACAAGGGGAGAGGATACAATTGCTCACCACCTGCTGCCCAATACCCAGCCCAACCCAAGCAGTGATCTGGGCCTTCCAGGTAACTCCCCTCCATTTCTATACTGGGCATGACGTGCTCTGGTATGGCCAGTTTGGGTCAGGTGTCCTGTCTCTGCTTCCTCCTGGCTTCCCCTCCTCCCTGGCAGAGCATGAGACTGAAAGATTCCTTGGTCGGAGTAAACATTACTTAGCAACAACTGAAAACATCAGTGTGTTATCAGCATTGTTCCCAGGCTGAAAGTCAAAACCACAGCACTGCACCAGCTACTAAGAAGGAGAAAAATGACTGCTACGGCTGAACCCAGGACATAGCAGTATTATCCCAACAAATGAGGAGTGGAGGCCGAAAAAGACTAAGGCAGTTCCTAAAAGCATTTAGGATTGCCCAGACTAGAATTGCAAAACTTGAGTAATTTGTGTAACTATTCACATTTACAAAAGTGGCAAAGGGCCATAAGCTTGTATGTGTCAGTGGAGCTAGTGCACGTAGATCACATCGAGCAAGCTTGCAATGTTGAGTAGAAAAGACATGACTATGTAGAAAATACAGATTTAAATGCATCATGATGGTCATACAAGAGTTTCATGTGGCAAGTCAAAGAAACTGTGATCCCAAGACAATGCCCCAAGTGCTGAAACAGAATAGGTGGTAGTTCTCCAACAAAATAATACTAAGGAGCCGTTAGTACAAGCAACATGATTTGTATTCTGCAAAAAATCTTGCTGAGCTGTAATAAACTAGGAGAAAACATTAAGAGGATACTGTCCATTATCATATGAAAGAAAGGGCTAAAATAAACAATTAAAACAAGCTATGGCAATTAAGGTTGAAGTAACAATTGAAAGCATGTAATGTAACTACAAGCAAAATTAGGCTAATAAAAAAAGAATATTTGAATTTTTTTAATATCACTTGTTTCACTGGATGCTCTCAATGCTCTGAGAATCTAGTTGATCCTCTGCTTCACAGATTTCTAATCGTACAACTTTATAGATTTCTAATTATAAAGCAATCTAAATGCTACAGTAGCATCGTCACACTTTTTAAAACACAAATTGCAACTTTATCTTGGACCCTAAATTACATGCCATTAATCACAACCATTAACCACTGAATGACTCTGTACTTTGACTTACACTGCCTTTAGTAGTATTTCAAGCAACCATGATCTGAGCAGTATGTTAAAACTTACTTTAACATTACTTCCCTTGATTTATTTAGGGTCCACCTGGCTTGCCTGGCTTGAAAGGAGATCCAGGTTCCAAAGGAGAGAAGGTATAATGTAGTCATTTTTTATGCCTTTGTAATTTTTTACCCAGTCTTAAATTCTGTATAAAATCAGCAGAAGAAAACACTAGAGGTTTTGTATCAAAAAGCAAGACAACTTACTGTGTTGTTACAACTTACTACTCAGCTTCACATAGTCTTATAGGAATCATGAAGTTTTAAGCCACATCTGGTATCCCGGAGCTATATAGAAAGGAAAAGATTATTTCCTGCGTCATAATCTATTGACCATGTGATTCTTCCTTGCAATAAAAATCCCAAAGACATTAATGTAAAGAGAGCTGTTCATTTGACAAAAACAAAGTAAGTAGCACTAAAAAGTACTTGAGATTTTTATTTTAAAATTATAAAATCTAAATATTTATCAGCTATTTCTTTTGAAATCATGGGTTGAGACATCCAGGATAGCACAGTTTATTGATTGCTTGTATATCAGACAAAAACTACATAGAGAAAGGCATATCAGTATCTTCTGAATTTCAGGTTTTGTTTATGTGCTTGCATAAGCTGTTTAAACAGCTGAATTTCATGTGGAAACAACTGTGCAACTCTATAATATGCTTATAGCATCTAAATGTAATATTTGGTATGAAATTTGTACCCACAGGTATTGTTATTTCTGTATTGGTTTCAGTAAGGAGTATGTTGCACCTCTTCCACTGAATAAACAGTCACAACTTGCAAATAATCTCTAAGTCTGAAAGGCCAACTAAAACCAACTAATATGCTTTCAGAATAACTTTTTTCCAGGTTAATTGTTGACTAGCAAGAGTGGTGACATTTGACAGCTCTAATTCATGTGTTTGAAAAGCACATTTACTTTATATATATTGTGTGTTAACTATATTTTCTTCTATCTTGTTTAGGGACATCCTGGTTTGATAGGCCTGATTGGACCTCCAGGAGAACAGGGTGAAAAGGGTGATAGGGGTCTTCCTGGCCCACAGGGATCTCCTGGAGCCAAGGGTGATGCAGTGAGTAAAACATACTTGTGTTTTCATTCAAGTTCTATGCAAGCAAAGAGTATATATTCCACTCTTTTGAGAAACATAAAGTTAACGTTTAACACCCAGAGCCTCCTGCTAGAGGTTAAAACTTTCCTACAGATACAGTGAAGTTAAACAGCTTCAGTTACAGATACAGTGAAGTTAAACAGTGAAGTTAAACACCACAGGGTGTTTCAGAAGATGAAGTAATCACATACACCTAAGTAAGGGATAAGATAAAACTAGCAGCACCAGTCTCATCATGTTTAACTGCACTACCCAGAGTAGCTTCCTTTCTCCTAGTTACTATCTATGTTTCCAGGGACTATATAAAAAGTGAGGTTTCCAAGTCAGTCTAAAGGGGAACACAGTTGTGACTGTAAGTACTGCAGTGTAAGAACAACTACAGGCAACTCAAACTATCCGGTAGTATTTTAAACTTACAAACTATTTGGACTCTAGCAAATGGCCTAAATCAAAACTCATCACGGTTGGACTGATAAGGAGAAGTAGGGCTACCTTTTTCATAGATCGTATTTTTAAATCCGCTCCAATATGTAGAATACTTCAGTTGTGTTCTTACTCTCTTTGTCTTAGGGAATTTCTGGTCCTGCAGGTCCACTTGGACCCCCTGGTCCTCCTGGTTTACCTGTAAGTAATTTCATCCAGTCCTCCTGTTGAAAACACTCCCTGATTGTGTGACATACACTCCAACTATAGTTCTGTGTTCTTGCCCATAGGGTCCCCAGGGTCCAAAGGGTTCCAAAGGATCCAGTGTAAGTAGTTCTCCTCTGTATTTTTTGTTCTTTAACTTCCGTGTGTGTTATTTTTAACATTTTGTAGTATGGTCAACACTGCATTTCTTTCATTGCCTTATAGGGTCCTGCTGGTCAAAAGGGTGACAGTGGGTTACCTGGTCCACCTGGTCCCCCAGTAAGTAAGAACTCTTATCTGACATGCAGAAGGGTAGAAACCAGCATTTTTGAACTTGCAGATAAGGAAAATATTAATGATTGTTTGAACACTGATTTTGCAGGAAACACAGATCCACCAGACACAGAAATACATTGTCTGCACTGAAAAACCCTCACATTAATTACTTAATGTGATACATTGAAGCATAGACAATAGAATGATATTGGTTTGCCCCTGTCGATACTTTTCTGTTTCTACTATTTCTTTTTCATATCATAACAATCAAAATGAAAACAGTCCAAATCTGAATGAAATGTTTCAAGTTCTTGAAATGAAGTATTGCTTTGTAGACCCCAAGTGGAGTTTTAAAGTTTTATCATAGAAAACATCCTCAGTTTTCATTTGTCATAGGCTATGCCTGTGCTTGAGGGAAATGCCAGGGATAAATAAGCAATTACAAGTCAGTTCTGCACACTTAACCTATATGATCTTTCCCAAACAACAATGTATTGAGAAGAATTTAGAGCACAAAAAACAATGGTTTGGCCTTCTACAGTCATCTTTTTCTGCAAGTAAATAAAGCACATAGGCAGAAATTTCAAGGAAATAAGTGAAATAAAGAATTTGAAGAAAGCCTGTTCAAAGCTTTTGCAAGCCACATCCTCTGGTCTTCCTCTGCCTATTTATGCAGCTGAAAATAGACAGAAAAGGTAACCAAGATACCTTGTTTTCCACTCAGGGTCCTCCAGGTGAGGTAATCCAGCCGCTGCCAATCCAGTCACCCAAAAAGACAAGAAGATCTCCTGATTACATGTTATCTGATGCTGGTGACAATATTCTGGATTATTCCGATGGCATGGAAGAGATCTTTGGTTCACTGAATTCACTGAAGCAAGATATTGAGCATATGAAGTATCCTATGGGCACACAGAATAACCCAGCCCGAACTTGCAAAGACTTGCAACTCTGCCACCCAGACTTCCCAGATGGTATGTTAATATTGCATGACAAAGGCAAACAAGGCTGAAGTTATAATCTGCTAAGATACTTTGGAAAATAATTCATTATTGGTTGGTGGTTAATATAGTTGCTCAATAAACAGAGTCTCATTAATCGATTTTTCAGGTATAAAAATGTATGAAATGTAAGCAAGAGCTGTTCTGTTGGTAAAATACAAAATGCTTTAAATACATAACCTGAGCTGCGTTTAGATTTAAAACTTTGTGGAATGCCAAATAAAAACCAGTTCTTTTTTTGAAAGGTGGGCCTTGCATTTCCAGAACTATCCAAACAGGAGAGGAATGAAAGATTGATGCTAATTAGATCAGTGGAAAGGAAAATCACAAATGTCAGCCTCCTGGGATAGCTAATAGCTTGTATTAAAAGAAACAAAAACTATTTTAGCTGTATGCTTTAACTTAGCATAATAATATAAAATAGCATTGGTATTATATGAGATTTATTACTGACTATGACTCTCAAAAAATTTACTCTTCTTTTACCCTTAGAAAGAACAATTTGTTTCAGTGCATGACCACTGTTCTGTGTCATTCAGTGAATAGACATGCAAGTTTCTCTCCTACTGTTTAATGCTTCTAAGAACTAGCTTAATAAAACGCAGAGTAGTATGAACAAGACACTTTGTTCTCAAGAACTATCTTGATTTAATTATTCTTTGTTGTTTGGTGAGCTTACCCCTCCGGAAAGGTTTAAATGAAAGCTAGCCTTCACAGAGCTGTTATGCTTTCACAGTTTTTTCAATTGCAATGGATAATTTTCCAAGTTCATAGTAGTATTTTTTGTGCCTTTAAATGGGAGGAAAAATAGATTTCAACAGTTTAATGCTATTTTATTGTTTTCACTCTAGACAGATAAAAACAGATGGTAGCCTTGAGGCGTAGTTAAGCAATGTGTATGCTATATGAAAAGTACATATTTTACAATTCAGTGCTGTTCATAATAATGAATGGTTTTTATAAACCAGATTCACCTTCTTCGTTTACCAGTATTTACTTAGTATCTGAAGCTTTCTTCATATAAAAGTAATATTTTGTTTAAAATAAAAGTAAATGCATTCATTAAACAACAAAATTCTCCAGGGCAAGGCTTTCTTTTCAATAAATAGAGCCTGAATTAATAGAATTTTAAAATACCATAAATTCTTTGTCTATGCCCTGTATTTAGAAGACAGAACTGATGAAGGAATGTGTCATTCTTTGAAAGCTCCACTATTAGCCTAGAACTGGATTAAAACGGTAGTGCCAGAAAATAATTTGCTGTCCTGCTGAGAAACTAGCTGGAGATAAGGACCCACTCCACAGAAATCACCATTATAATTACAGTGGTGTTAAAAAGTGTTGATTTTTAATGGACCTTGGATTGACTGTGGCTTTCTTTCATGCCCAGCCTTCACTCACCCTACGATTGTAGAGCTTGGATTCTCAGCTGTGCCATTCTGGCAGAATTCATGAAACTCTATAGGGGAAGTTTTAACTGTCTTTCCCACTGTGTCACCTAACCAATGATTAGTTAAGATGCTTTTATCAGCTAAAGCAGCCTGGAGTGTCACTGGTCTGGTCTTGCAGCTTCTTACCCAGTAGTAAAAAACATCTTTGCTTGAAGTATACCTCTTTCAGTAGAAGCTTTAGCTAGTTGTGCCAGCTACAACCTCACCAAGCCCTGTGTGGCCATATTTTAATGTAGGTAGGTGTACAAATGACTACAGATTTTGCTGTCTGACCTGAGCCGTATCTTTTTTATGCCTAAAGCTGCCTGTGCTCTGTTTTTGAGTGCTATTACCACAGGTACAAATTATCCTTCTAGCTGAAATACTGAAATGGCCAAATTGTTGAGACTTCCAATGTATGTTTCACACATAACGTCCTTCCTCCACTAGACTAAGTCCCTTCATAACCTCAAGCAGTATCCTGCGACAGAATCATGGTTTGAAGTAAAATCAGAGAAAAACAAAAGGACATAGATAAAAATAGACTTGATAAGTCCATTAAGTCTTGATAATAGACTTAATATAACTTGGTGTTATAAAGAGCAACAGCAGAAGCAAATCACAACGCAGGAAAGGGTTGCTTTCTCATCATTCAGATAAAACAACTTTGCTACAAACTTTGGAGGACCAAAGTGGAAAAAAAGTACTGGGGTAGCAGTAAAACCTGGATCTTACTGATTCCACTACATAAGGCAAATAATTTCTCATTTGTTGTAGGGGAATACTGGATTGATCCTAACCAGGGCTGTTCTGGAGACTCCTTCAAGGTATACTGCAATTTCACAGCAGGTGGAGAAACTTGCATCTACCCGGATAAGAAATCTGAAGGAGTAAGTGCCAATCTGTGTTTTCATCTGGGTGCTGACAGATCCTACTATGCTGTTGCAATGTTGAACTAAAGAAGATCATTACCTTGTCACATTTGCATATAGCTATCTTTCTGGTTGCACTGAAATCTGCATAAATCTGAATGAAGTGGTAAAATGGTACGTAGAGTTAAGAAACAGTATTTTAACTGTTTTGCTTAGATAGGGAATCTCTGCACCTGCTTGCTGACATTTCACTGTATTTCAGGATGCAACATAGCTGTGCAGCCAGTTAAAGTGCATAATCTAACATTGACCTAAAACCTACACTCTTACTGCATTCCTCTTGTGGGTTCATTTATATCTATTCATTTATACCTGTGTAAAGTAGATGTAAAATACCGTATTAACAGTGTCCTCACTTGTTACAAATGACCTCTGAGGGGGCAGATGGCGTAGAGGTGGCTTTCTAAAAGCTTGCCTAAATTAGAGAGATCTATCAGCATCAACAACAGTGAAAACTCTAATTTATACGCTCTTCACAGGGACAGTTTAAACCAGCAGTTTTTACCTGAAACTTAACAAATGAAAACAGTCTCCCTTAAATAGAACTAGCTCTCTTTATAAGCTATTGCTTTGGATTCTATTTAAAGTCACTAATTTGAAGACATTCAGTAGAAGAAAACCATCCTATTTTAGACCTTTAAAGGGGCTGAGATCTCACTATCTGATGTGAAATTTGTCCCAGGTAATGTAAAGCTTTCCTATCTAATAACATATGTTTTAAATACTTTTATCTCTGCTGATTTACCATACAGGTTAGGATTTCATCGTGGCCAAAGGAGAATCCAGGATCTTGGTTTAGTGAATTTAAGCGAGGAAAACTTGTAAGTTGTCACTGCAACATAACACTTACTCACAAATCAAGTACATATGGTCAGTGATCAACAGATCCCAAATAATCTTATAAATACTTAGATAATAAAAAGTCTTTTCAGCCCCAGCCTCTTTCCCCTAAATATTAGCGCAGCTACGCAGCCTCTTGCCCCTGGACAGCACCCTGCTCTGGATTGTGCCACAATGATCCTAGTGCTCACACCACCACTGACTCTTAGTAAAGCAGCTGGAGCATAGATCCCCTGCCCCATTCTGGGTAACTGGAAATATACTGAGTAAGCAAAGATGAGACTGCAGGCTGACATAACTTTATCATTAGCTAAACACAGATTCCCAAAGAGATTCTGCTGTCTTTCACTCTCTAATTCTGTCCTTAGTTCCTAAATATATTGCTACAACATGAAAACCTACTTACTGAGCCTCAGCTTTATTGAACTTTAACATTCCTTAAAATGTTATTATGTTGGCTGATTATTTTTTTAAATTTTATTTACTATTTTAAGGAGAGTTTTGTGGTTCTTTTGTCAGCAATATTTTTGGTTTGCATTTAACAAAGGAAATGGATAAATATTGATGTAACTTCTTGTATTTTCCAGCTTTCCTATTTGGATGTTGAAGGCAATTCCATTAATATGGTCCAAATGACATTCCTTAGACTACTGAGTGCCTCTGCCAGACAGAATTTCACTTACAACTGTCATCAGTCTGTAGCTTGGCACGATGCATCATCTGACAGCTATGACAAAGCACTAAGGTTCTTAGGATCAAATGATGAAGAAATGTCTTATGACAACAGTCCTTACATCAAAGCTCTTCACGATGGCTGTGCGGTAAGTAGAGGCTCAGAAGAGTCTTTACAAAACCAACCTATCAATTAAAGTAGAAATCAAACAAACGCATTTTTTTTCACAGCTTTCTTCTGGAAAAAGCCTTCTGAACTATTCTGTTTTTAATAGAATGCCTTTCAGTAGATTTTTAACTACAGTACGTGAGTCCCTTACTTAATTTTCATATAAGTACCAAGAAAAAAACCCACGCAAACATAAGCCAAGCAACAGAAATGGGACAAACCTGGCATGCATACAGGCTGAAACTATGCATTGTGCTGAAACTAGACTATCTGCTAGTATGAGCACAGTATAAGAGAAGAGCAGAAGCAGAAAGAGCATAATCAGGGGAGGCAGCCCAATAGGAGAATATATTTATACTCAGAATCAAGGCATACGGAGACAGAATATTTAGTGAATACAGTAAAAACATGTACGAACTAAGCCGTAAATATGTACCCAAACAGTGAATTAATTGTATGGTTTGGTATGTGTCTTTGTATTTCCTTTTCTCAATTTTGGTAGTCAAAGCCAGGTGAAGTCTGTGGATTGTATCTTTCAGAATCCTTTCTTAGCTCAGCTAAAATCCCAAACATGCATCAACTGCCTGACCACCTCTCCAGCAGGGTCTTGTAGGCATAGCAACTGTTACCTCTTCTCAGAAACAGAATGGCTTATACTGAACACTTTGAAAGAGACATCAAAAGAGCAAGTGACAGTTAAAGCCTCATTAATTATTTTGGGTTTTGATATGGGAGCATCTTGAAAGCAGCACCTGAGAAATCAGTGATAGAATCAGACACCTGAAGGTGCCAGGACACATACCTGGCTCTGAGACAGAGATTCAGCTCAGGTAGGTGCAGAGTCTCCTCCCCTCGGTAATGATACCTGAATACATACTACTTCAAGACAGCCTTTCTGTAGGTCCTGTATTTTGCTTTTCTTATCCACAGTGGGTGAATGTAGAGCTCCGGAGAGTTGGAAGTGATTTAGGCTTTAAGTCTGTCACTAAACTGAGGACTCTCAGATCTACCTGATCTTGATGCATCTAAACTCTGAGACCCTGGCATTGCTGAAATAAGGGGTCTCAGCAAGACACAACAGACCATCTGAACAAAGTGCAGTCCTGATAGCTAACATGATGACTTGGCTCGATGATATTTAGAGGATCTAGAGAGCCTTTGTTAGGAAGTAAGAGTGTGCCTTCAAACCTGGCGTCAGTTGGCAGTCCTGTCCTTTCTTTCATGCCCAAACAGCTGCTGTAATACTTTGTGACACAGTTACAGTCTTCTTAGAAGTGAATTCTGCCATTCAGAATTAATTAGCAATTTTTTCACAAGGAAGACATGTACGCTGCTATGAGAGTACTGTTATTAGTTATTTAATAGTATAGATAGCATATACACATTCTCTAAGAAACATGAGATGTCTTGGGTAACTTTTCATATGTAGGCCTGTTCTAGTAAGTCAAGAAGCTGTGGGCTGATCGCTTTCTAAAGTCAAAACCATTCCATTTAATTTTTAAAATAAAATCCTAAGAACTTTAGAGTTTTTAATATCTAGTGCATGAGGGGTCAATAATTTGTAAGTTCTACACTCAGAGATAACCTATGAAGATCTACAGCACATGCTTACTGCTCTGATATATAACCATGTTTAGGTTTGGTTTTGTTTTTTTCCTTCTTTTTTAACAGTCAAGAAAGGGCTATACGAAGACGGTGATCGAAATCAACACACCCAAAATAGACCAAGTGCCTATAGTTGATGTGATGATCAATGACTTTGGTGATCAGAACCAGAAGTTTGGATTTGAGGTTGGTCCAGTCTGCTTCCTTGGTTAAACTTAAGACAAAATCAGATCAACAGAAATGTTGCACTTTGGTGCTACCAACCCACTTCATGCCACATGCAAGTTTTGAGTAAGGATGGCATAGAAAATATGTCTTGTTGTGTATGTCTTACCTAGAAAGTAATTGTTGCCCTTGTAGGGCCAGAATCACATGACTTAAACTTATTTTGCAAAGATGCTGTGGCACAGACAGACAACATAGGGCTCACTTTAGGAACAACCCCCTTTGGATTCCTTCGGTGCTGTAAAAAAATGAACGACATGGTGCTCCTTCCATTACAACAAAGAGGTGTTAAGAAAGTGTTGAATAAACTGTAATTATTCTATGTACAGTACTGTACTGGTATTTCTCTGTCCATTTCCAAAACTTGCATGTGTCTTTGAATTGCATCTGGCTCTCATTTTATAATTACAAAACTCCATTGTCAGTACTGTGTCTGTATTCTGAAAAAATAAAGCTGTACTTGCCAGTGAAGCCAATTCTGATTAATAATAAACTCCCTTTGTATATATTGTTGTTGAAGAGCTTGTTATTTGAAGTCACCAACAAAATATAAGGTAGCAAAACTGGAAGATCTTGAGCAGCACAAACTCTTCTGCTGGTATCACTCTGTGATGATGAATTTCAGTGAAGGCACCTTCAAAGATGCTGTGTTCCATGGTGCTATACCTCAGACTTTTTATGTTCTTTTCTCATTCCATCATTTCATAAGATACCTGTATATACCTAAAATAAGCAATTTTCTATTTCTGGGTGGGGAAAATATGTAAGAAAAATGAAAAAAAAAACAAACCCCAACTTTTCTGTAAGAGATCTGTGAAAAATCTGTGTGAAAGAAATCAGTCTTTTTCTTTAATCTCATCTGAATTTGTTTCCATTGTGCTTATTTACATAAATATTGAAACTGGATTCCAACAGTTATTTATGGATTCTGGATTCTTGCAGTGTTTACTTAGATTTTTATATGAGCAATGACAGATGTTTGCTTCCTGAACTGGATACTGAAAGTTCCACAGAATGGTCCTATACAATATTTGCCCATCCCATTAATAGGAAGTATTTTTTCCTTGTTATTTCACCTCAAGGCCAGGGATGCAATATGTCTAGGTCATGTGATTCTACATAGTTGCTAAGCAACATACGAGGGGACTGCTTCCTACAGAGCTGTCTTTGAACCTGGTACAATCTGCTATTCAAATGTCACCAAACAGATGTTGGTTTGGCCTTCCCTCTGAACATTTTATTCAGGTAGTTGGAAGTAGAAATTACATTTTAGCTTTACAACACAAATCCTTTTGTAATTATTTTTCATAATATATGTAAGACTTGAAAAGAAATGTTTGTTTCTATTTCTTAAAAAATTGTTAAATTAAATAGTACTAGTTTCTGCTGGCTCGTTTCCAACTGGTCTTTTCTTATGCACGTTTATACATATAGAAGTGAGATTTCAAAAGTCAACTTCTTGCTGGTCATATTTTCTTTTATTTTTGAACCAAAGTTTGTAACTGTCACCTCAAAGAGGAAAATACAAAGTTTATTAATAAAATCAAGTCTTGTCTACCTGGATTGGTGATTGTCTTTTTTCAGTGTCCAGAGCTCATCCACTGTAACTGCACTCTGCTTCCAGACCATCCAGACTAAAAACAAAGTAATCTTACTACACATCCCGGCAAGCACTGAGCAACAGCATTGGAAGAGAAGTGTTAATAGAAAAGATGCTGATCTGGCCACTGGCAGTATGCAGCAAGGCTTACAAGTTCTTATTTAGTTTGTATGGATCTGTAGCTGCAGCAGTACGCATAATACTGCCAAACACAAGATAGGAACTCATTAGTCTTTCCAAAGGCACTTCTTTTACAACCTGCAAGGACCAACTGCTTCACAATTTCATGCTTATCCTTGTAAGATCCCATAAGGTAAGTAAACCATTCATTGACAAGAACTAGACCAAGACCTAGAAACTACTGAAACACAACATTTCCAGTGTTTTAGGTAGTGGCACCAGAACTAGTGATGTTTCCAAGCTAGAGACATGACATGTATCACCTGAGGCCTCTTCCAAAATGATTTATGGTTTTTTTCTAATCCGCTAACGGATTTGGCAAGTCAGGATTAGGCTGCAGCAGATGGGTGCAGCAGAAGAGTGCAATGATACATGCAAGGAGCCAAACGAACCCAGATCTTCTCCAGTATTAGTCAAAGTATCTTGCCAAAGTTCATGTTGACAACATTCCAAAGGAGGAAATGAACTTGAGTCTTCTACATTTCTCAGGCAAGGCCTTAGCCAGGTACCTTACTATTTACCCTTGCCATGAACACATCTCACCACCTCTAGATGCTAACACTTCTTTGTCCATTCTCTGTTTCAGTACACTCTTGTTCTCTCCCAAGTTTCTGATTAAAGGAGAAAATTTATTTAATCTTGCATTTAAGCAAAAATTACAATATTTTTCTCCCAACAGAAGTCTCATATTAGCAATGCTCTAAAAACTCAACAAAGCACTCTTCAGAACAGAAAATGTCACATAAAACCTCACACATTTAGTCTTTCTGTGACATTTCAGTAGTCAAATCCTACTAACCATAAAAACATAAAGCTTCAGATTCATCAATGTTGTTATTAAAAAACTTAAACTATTTAGTTAAATTCGTTACTCAACCAACTCCATAAGAAAACAAGGCTCAACATTTTTTACACCAGAAATCAAAACCCTGTGAAATCACAAACAGATTGAAATTGCCAGATGACAATTCTACTGCTATATGACAGCTGGATTTTACCTGTAGCAACTGACAGACTATTGAGAACATGGATTTTCTGTGATGGTGCAACTGCACCCTCCCTCCGAGCAAACTGGGCAGTTTTTCTTCTCTGTTCTCTCTCCAAACAGAGAAGAGCCACACTGGAGATGGCATAATGCGGATGGGTTCTTCACTGCAAAAGAAGGTGTTGCTGTCATGTTGCATGGAAAGGGAGTGAGTAGGCATACAGCAAACACAACAAATATTACAGATAGAGGCAGTGTTCTGTTCAGAATAACAAGGACATATGATATTTAAATGACAAGTTACAACTAAGGAAGTATACACTGTCCTGTGTATAGATGTAGTTTCTTCTACAGGGAGAAAGCCCCTTTCCTCTTTCTTAAACCAGGATAAGGCAGTATCAATTCACGACTGACACATCTCTTGGAAAACTTCATACAATGTAATGAAGGGGTTTTTTTTCCAGTCTGAGTGGGCCATCATCAGCTAACATCAGCAGTCACCCTGTGACACAAAAAGCTACCATCTGTTCCAAAAACAGGCACAGTTCTTTGCTGAAGATTCTTCCCCTTAGGAACAGCATTGTTAACTTAAAATGAAGCTTCTCATGCTAACGACTGGTAGGAGATGCCTTAATAGCCATTGATTTTCTATTACAAGCACATTCAATTTTCTGTGAATGAAGATCTATTGTACACAACCAAGAACTTGAAAATGACAAGGACAGGATATTAGATGTCATGTCTACCGTATTTACTTGGGAAGGTGTCTTATTTGTGATTCTTCTCTAGGCACATGAATTATCAAAGAGGCTTATTGCTAATTCAGTAAAAAGCAATGCTAAGATTATTGCAAAGGAGTAGAGAGCTCTAAAGCTATTTATTAATTTTATTTTCAATAAGGACGTTGAAGATTATTACAGTGAGGAAGGTTGCAAGCATACAGATACTCAGACGTGCTGCTCTAGCCAAAACCAGACTTGTTTCAGGGCTCAAGCACACACTGAAGCCGGTTCATGTTCAGTTTATCATTGACCAACACCCCCAAGTCCTTCTCCTCAGGCTGCGCTGAATCACTTCCCTGCCCAACCTGTAGCTGTGCCTGGGATTGCCCCAACCCAGGTGCAGGACCTTGCACTTGGCTTGGTTGAGCGTCATGAACATATTTCTTCACTGCTTCCTTATTTCCCTCTCCCCCCTATATTTTTCTCCTTTCTGTTGTACACTGACAACTATTCTGGCTTGGGTTTACTGTGCCTTTCTTTTCTATTCAGCTGTCAGTACTGTCCTCAGCTCCTGTCCCACAGCACATGGGTAAAGAATCTCAGTGTGGAGGCCACTGGCATTTCTCCTACCAGTCAAATACTTTTCAGATAGTTTGAATAAAAATACCTCATCATTTCCAGTGGAAACTTCGCAGTTAAAAAAAGGGGAAAAGTAGTCAGGTGAAACACACTTGGCTCTTCAGAAATGGGCTCTGTTCTGGCTTTGACAGTAAACAGCTCTAATTTTAGTACCTGTGTATTGAGCAAGTCTGCAGGCCTAGAGAAAAGTGTCTATTTCTAAAATCTTTCTGAGGCATAACAAAGGACTAAGCGACCAAATCAGAAAGGGACTGTGAATGTTATGAAGATTATATATTTGTACATTCTCCTGAGCCTTCACATCATGCTGTGTTATCTTGTGAGCCAGTTTGGACCATGGGACCACAAAACAGAGCTACTTTCTGACCTCAGCTGTCATTGAGATGATATTCTAATAAAAAAAGGCACAGGCTCAAGAGACTGTATGAAAAGAATATAAAACCTTACTTATTTTTTTGTTAATGTTTGACAGAAAGAAGATTTTAAGTCAATAAAAATAGCTTTATTCTAACTCTCTCCACTTCTCATTCACTTAACATACTTTAAGTGCTGTAAAGAACAGTGCCTGCTCTGTAAGTCATTCAGATCAGTGATAACGCCCTAGTTGACTTCACAGGGCTTTCTCTGTAGGATTCTGAGTAACAAAGTAGTACCTCCGAGTCTGAAACATTTCTTGTGTTAGAACGCTGTTATTGTTACTCACATCCAGAGTTCACAATTTCAAAATTTAGTTAATATTTTCCATTTAAAAACTTAGGTTATGGCTCTGCTCTGTTGACTTTTGAGTTGTGCTGGTGTCCTGGGTTCAGCTATAGCAGTCATTTTTTCTCCTTCTCAGTAGCTGGTGCAGAGCTGTGGTTTTGACTTTCAGCCTGGGAACAACGCTGATAACATCGACGGTTTTAGTTGTTTCTCAGTAATGTTTACTGTGACCAAGGACTTTCTCAGTCTCACGCTTTGCCAGGTAGGAGGGGAAGTTGGGAAGCAAGCAGAGACAGGACACCTGACCCAAACTGGCCAAAGGGCTATTCCACACCACAGCACGTCATGCCCAGTATAGAAACTGGGGAGAGTTACCCAAAGGCCCAGATCGCTGCTCGGGTCGGGCTGGGTATTGGTCGGCGGGTGGTGAGCGGTTGTGTCCTTTTCCCTTGTTATTCCTCTTATCATTATTACTGGTAGCAGTAGTGGTTTGTATTATACCTTAGTTACTGGAGTGCTGTTATCTCAACTCGTGGGAGTTACATTCCTTCAATTCTCCTCCCCCTCCCGCCGGGGGCGGGGGGAGGAAGAAGAGGGGGAGTGAGCGAGCGGCTGCGTGGTTCCGAGTTACCGGCTGGGCTTAAACCACAACAGCATTTAAGAAAATACTA